TCTCTTTAACCAGAAGTTGGTCCAATATAAGAGATGACCTCACCCACCTTGTCTGTCTCACACACACAAGAAAATGCTATGCTCGCTGTGAATGCTAATAGCTGTCAGTGATGGGAATCATGAGCCTAACCTGTAACAAGAGCAACTATAGTCCTTCCCAGAAGAGACGTGATTTCACAAGTAGACAGTGCCTCTTGCAAGTTCATGCCAGGGAGAGGTTCAAGCTACCAGCTAGAGCCAGGAATCATGCCTACAAATGCTGAGCAAGTTTCCCCCAGCTCTGACAAGGTACCTCAGCCCTCGCTCACAACACCCCCTGATATTCCAGTCCCAGGTGCTGCGCACAGCCCTGCTAATGCACCTCAGTCCTGATATGTTATCCCAGTCCTGGACCCACTTCCCGCAGCCCTGACCATGTCTCCCCAGTCCTGACCTGCAACACCTCGCTGTATTGCAGTCCAGACCTCCGCAAAGCAGTCACCAATTGTGTCAAATTGTATGGAGGTTTGTGATGGGCAGAAATGGGGTCAGGCCAAGAGACACTTTCATGTGGAACCTGATTCTGGATCTCCATGGGTGAGAGATGGGCAGCATGTTACCCTCCTGTGCCCCATAGAGACAGCCCTGTATCACCCTACCAGTTGCAGGCTGAGTCTGACAGCTCTTTTCTCTGTCCCACAGGGTAATAAATGTAGCCACTTTTTCCAGCTGAAGAACATTTCCTTCTGTGGATACCATCCAAAGAACAACAAGTGAGTGCCCACAGGCCCAAGGCTCCATGATCCTGATCCTGGGGGAGAGAGGCCCCCTTTCCTTCTCAGCCTGCTCTCTACTTATAGACTCAGTTGTGTTCCCTGGGAGCAAGGGTGGGAGAGGGGGGCATTCCAGCTGTCATCATCTTCTTCCTCCTCCTCCTCCTCCCTATGGGTTTCCCTTCCCTGTAAATGCTACCCACTTTTCCCTGCAGCTCCAGGCATGGACCAGCCCTGGGAGTTCGATGCTTTCTGCCCCAGGGTCTTGGGAGGGTTAAAAGGTATTTGCAGTGGGTTTCAAAGATGGGACTAGGAAGATGCAGTGAGTGATTGTTATTGGACCAAAGCTGAGTCACTGGACAGTGGAAGGGTTTTTCCTGTTGGGAATTTTCCCCATTTCACTGTGCCCAGGGCTGGGCATTTGCACAAGCGTCACAAGTGACTCTTTGGGGTCCTTCTTTCTTGGGGCTCCCCAGCCCAATTTTGTCCCCCTGCCACCAGAATTAGAGTGGCTGGATCCCAGTGTCCATGCCCTTCCCACCCCTCCGCACTTCCCAAAGGGTAAGTCAGGCCCTGCTGTGAATACTTCCTGGCTCCTGGGCTGTTGCTCTAATGGGGCATACAGCCTGGGCGGTGGGCAGACCTTCCTCTGCAGCACAGCCCTGTGCATGGCCTCCACTCCAGCCTCACCTGCTCTCTTCTCTCCCAGATATTTTGGGTTTATCACCAAGCACCCAGCTGACCACAGATTTGCCTGTCACGTCTTCGTCTCAGAGGAGTCCACCAAGCCGCTTGCAGAGTCTGTAGGGTGAGTCCAGGGTGGGCTGGCGGAGGGGATAGAGTTCTTTCTTCTCTCGGGCAGCAGTTTCTAGTCCCTGCTCCAGGCTCCATTTTCTGCCTTAGTTATGAGACTAGGCTGGGCTGTTCACTGGGGTGCTGCTGCCTTGAATTGTGGTGCTCTCACCTGCTATGGACCATGGGCTGCGGACTGGAGCCGCACAGCTGAGCTGGGAGTGGGGAGCTCTGGTTGGGGCAGCCAGAGAGAGTGAGGATTAGGTTACTTAAACCCCCAAGTATTTTCCATGGCAGTTTGGCGCTGTGTAGAGAAGATCTGGAGGCTGACGTCCTCTAGGGATAGGGGCCAGTTAGAGCAAGACTGCTGTGCAGTGGCTTTGTGACTTAGACACTGGACCGAGAGCCAACAACTGATTTCACAGGAGGCCCCAACCAGCTGAGGCATTGTATGGTGATAACTGTTGCCTTGGGCTGGGTTGGAGCAGGTGCCCTAGAGGTGAAAGGCTCTGGATCCCATTCCCCAATCCCCTGAGCCACATCAGATTGGAGAAATTGCCCAGACAAGTTTGGAACTGCTGCTGTGTGTCGCTGAGTGCCACACAAATGCTCTCAATAGTGACACCACCTGGCTGACCTGAGTCCATAGAAATACATTGTTTTGCCCATAGAATCATAGGGTTGGAAGGGACCTCAGGAGATCATCTAGTTCAACCCCCTGCTCAAAGCAGGATCAATCCCCAACTAAATCCCCAAATGGCCTCCTCAAGGATTGAACTCACAACCCTGGGTTTAGCAGGCCAATGCTCAAACCACTGAGCTATCCCTCCCCCATAGTCCTTCTAGCTACTCAGTGGTGGGGCCTATGGATCTGTGTCCCTGCCATTTCCCCACTGCTGTGCGATGTCAGGTGAATGGTTCAAGGATAGATCTGGCCTCTGCGCCTCCATTCACACACACTGCCGCGGGGGGAGGAGCAAAGGATGGAGGGTTGCAGGAACTGCCACGGGCTAAGACCTTTGTCTTCTTATTGCCCAAGAGCTTTACAGCCCCCTGGAATCCTGGGAGTGGCCAGCAAGAACAGACTGCTTCAGTAACCCTCTATGACAGGAACAGGGGCCGGCAACAAGACTGTGCTGGGTTAAAGGGAACCAAACCCCAACAGCATTGAAACAAGCCCCAGGGGCTCTTGGGGACAGGATGTGCAAACTTCACAGAGGAGTAGACAGGGATGTGTAGGAGACAGGGACTGTCCCCAAAAGGAAGGGGCAGAGACCATCACTGGAGACATTCCAGCGGGGCTGACAGAACCTTGGGAGATAGACAGTAGCGGCCAATCCTGCCCTAGGGGATAGACTAGAAAGCACCTAATGGGGTCTTTCCAGCTCCAGTTTCTAGAACTCAGTGAAAATAAATCCCTGAATTCTGCTAGGGGCTGAAGGCCTGTTCAGAATCCCTGACCAAAGAGGGTGTGTGCATGCAAGATACACGCGGCTTGGTAGGGGAGCTGCCAGTGCACTGAGTGGCAGCCGCGCCTCAGCCTGCTCTCTGCTCTGTCTGTTGCAGGAGGGCTTTCCAGCAGTTCTACAAGGAGTATGTGGAGTACACCTGCCCCACAGAGGACATCTACCTGGAGTAGGGACTGGGCCGATCACCCTTCTGTACAGACAGGGCCAGCGAACTCGCCCATTCCCCATCATGCATGGACAAGCTGCTTTGACACTGGAGGAGGAACAGAGCTGGAGATGGCTCCCTTGGTGCATGGAGCACTGCCTCTTTTCAGGACTCTCCTTCCTCGGGTTGGGGGATGGGAGGGGGAGGGGCTGAAAAATGGGGTTTATTGTAAAATACTCTTTTAGTTTATTATATTGAAGAAGCAGCACGGCTGTGGGCTCTGAAGGGGGAACAGGCAGCCTGGGGCAGGAATGCAGCTGTGGCACTGGAGCTGGCCTAGGACAGAGCAGCCCTGTCACTGTGTAAGTAAGAGGGCTGGCCTGGTGTGATGAGAGCACTCATCCTCCTCCCTCCTGGGTGCTGGAGCGAGGACTCCTCCCAGCTCCTGGGCTGCCTTGCAGCCTTAGCCAGCTTTCTCCAGCTCCCTTTCTTGGTCCCTCAGGTTGATTTTTAACTCCAGGGCAGCATTGGCCTCGCACTGTGAAGCCACATCAGCTGCTGAGAACAGGAGCTAATAGGAACAGGTCAGCCCAAGCCCTGACTGAGGGGGAAGGGGGCATGGGCATGGCAGAGAGAGGCAACTGCTAAAAGCCTTGGAACCACTTGATGGGTACCACATGGAAGATGGACTCACCCCGCACTCATCCCAGGAGGGAAGAGCAGCCTGGTTTGTAGCCTCCCTGCCATTCCCACCCAGACATCCTGAGAGAACCCCCTGCTTTCCAGAGGTGAATATTAGCCTGGGCTGAGACTATGGGGCCCTATTTCTCCTCCGTGTAGAGGAGTGAGTTTGAGGAGAAGGAGCGGGGAGCAGAAGAGTCCGTGCCCTCACATCCTGTAAGGGTGGGAGGGGGACAGTTCCTCTGGGGCCCCCTGCCCTTCAGTCTCCAGGTTGGGGGGAACTCCTCTGCTCCTCACCCCACCAGCTGTGGGTGCCAGTGGCTGTGGGCTATTTGCATACTGGGATGCATGTTTGAAAGTGTGAGATGCTGAGAGGCAGCAGATCTGGTCCATCCGCAGTGAGATGAGCACAACATGAATTCCTTCCCAGCCTCCACAATGGCAGTGGCTCCACCGAGGGGGAGAGGCAGCAGGAACCTGAGAGACGAGCTGGGGCCCTGAGACAAGAGAGGGAGCAGCAAGGGGCTCAGGACTGCAGTGAGCTGTGCTAATATCTAGGGGATGACACTTCTCCCCTCCAGTCAAGGTCTCTGGCCTTCAGCTGGATCCGCTGTGGTGGCAAAACTATTAAACATAAAGTTTCATGGAGTTGCTCTACATGTCTCTGTGTGTCACACCAGAGCGCTGGGCAAGGCCTGCAGCTCCTCTGTCACAGCCTTGCTACATGGGCATCCTGCCCCCACCCCATTTTCTCCTTCCCAGGGGCCTCTTCACCCCTCAGAGAGCCCCACCCAGCACCTCAAGCCCAAGGGAGATTGAGTGTCATGGCAGAGCAGCTTACCTGGCAGCCGGGGGACTGCACAGAATGGCTTTCTATGGATGAGTGATCTCAGTTCTCTGTGCCTGGGATCGCCACCTCTACACTCAGGTGGAGACAGGTAGCCTTCATTAGAGGGTAGGAGTAATTTTAGGGGCTTCATCTTCAGCTACACTGTTTCCAGCAGCTGAAGAAACACCCATGGGACTGAGGGCAGTAGTCTGGAGTAGTGGCAGCCCTCTGCCTTCCCCTTCCCCACCCCCACCCCAACAGCCATCACTGAGCAGATCCTCAGTCTGTCTTGCTGTACAGCGCACCTTTATAAAGCAGCTAGTGCACAGGACCAGAGCTGGAGTCCCTAGCTCATGGGGCTCGTGGAGACCCCACAAGTCCCTGGGCAGCTCACAGGACATTGTCATAATAATATTCTGCCAAATCTGACTCATCCCGCTTGCTCTTGTGTGCTTGGTGCAGGCCTGCAGGCTGCTTCCGGGGTGCTTGAGTCTGGAACTGGGGGTGCTTCGGTTTAATGCCATAATCTATGGAAGGACAGAGAGCTGGTGATAGAGAGGGGAAGAAACGCAGGGCCCAAAACAGCCTCTGTTGTGGGGAAACTGCCTGCAGCCACTAATGATCCAAGTTTGGGTCCAGCGCTCACATGTACCCCTCCCCCCCTCGGATGTGGTGTGTGCTTTTGGGAACTACGCAAAGTAAGCCTGGGCTGTGGCAGCACCCAGTGCAGCCATCACTCTGCAGTAGCAGGCGCAGCAACTTCTGTGCCATGCACAATAGCAGCCAGCAACAGCAGGTGCCTGTTAAGTGTCCATGCACAGGGAGGGAAAATCACTGCAAACGAGGAGGGGCAATTGGCACTGGCTGGCTTCTCAGGGGCTTTCCCCACAGCCTGGCCAGCTGAACTATGGCAGGGGGTGGGGCAGTTTGGACTCATGGCCAGCTGTCTATAGAGACAGGCTGCTGAGGAGAGGGCTTGGCCGCTGGGTGAGCCATAGCTGCCAGTGATGGGAGACCCTGCTGGCTAAGTGAGGCGCTGTCTCACCTGAATTAGCCTTTGAAATAGTAATCTCCTACCACTCCAGGGCTTGCAGTGGCATTAGGAGGGTGAGCTGAGGCTTTGAAGTGGACCCTTTATGCAGCAAACCAGGCTCTTCCATGCTCACTGCAGGGGGAAGGGGAAAAGCCTGCTTGCCCCTGGAAGCAGGAGCCCTGCACAGGGCAAGTCTCAAAACTCAGGCTTACAACCCTGAGTGGCAGCGACTGGCCCCCCCACAGACCTATGCCTGGGAAACAGTGAGCTGTGAGCCCCTGAGGAAGCCACTGTCTTTCCCCCACCCCACCGCATAGTAAGCCTTCCTGTCGCATTCCCTGGCTGTGGGGACTTGGCTTTGATGGTGCAGGAGGCAGTGCACCTGCTGTGTGCACTGAGGAGGCTGAATGGGAATTGTCCATGTCCCCCATGACAGCATGTTAGAGCAGAGTAAGTTGGTACCATCCACCAGGCCGAAGTGCTGCTGTGGGAGCTCCAGGGGAGCAGAGAAATCCTCAGGGACTGAGCCGCTGAGCCTGCAATAGAAATGCATGGTCAGGGGAGCAGGAAGTTCCCGGGGCTGATGAATTCACTAGTCTCCTCCCAGTGGCAGGGCTGGGGCTGCCTGCGTATTTCCAGTTGAAGCTCAGCCTGGCTTCTGGCCACAGGTCTTAGGGTGCTGGGCATAGAAGACAGCAGCTGGGCTGGAATGAGACGGTGGGTAATTGCACTTGGCCTAGGCGCAACTTAGCCTGTTAGCGCTTAAATGGTGGAGCAGAGCCAGGGCTCCAGGAAACAGGCTGATTTGGCAGGTTACATGCATTTGACGCTTGCCCTTAATGTGGACAGGGTGACTTGTGCGTTGGCTTCCCTCAGTAAGGACAGGTGCATTTTACAGCTTGCGGTGTTGCAGCGACAGAGGCAGGCTCTGAAGGAAAAGGCACCCCCTGGAATGGGGGTGGGGGAAGGTTTACGGTGCAGCAGATAGGCTTTACACACGCTGGCTCTTCTGCATGGTTCAAACGACAATTCCCACTGCTTTGGCCTAAGCTTTGAGTATCCAGCTCACCTGCTCCAGTTCCCAGCTGCGGAGGAGTGGGCTCAGCTCATGCCTGAGTCTCCTGCATGTGTTCTAGGGCAAGCACCGGGGGGAGAGTGGGCACAAACATTGCAGGGGCCATGTTACCTTTGGGGAAGTGGCACAGGGAACACAGCCCCCAGCAGGAGTGGCAGCAGCAGGTGCAGCTTCATGGAACTCAACCCAACTACACTGTGTCCTTGCAGAAGCAGGCTGGCCTCAGCCTATCCTCCTTTTCTTTCATTGGTTGTCATTGATGGAACATAATGACATCATGAGGCCCTACAGTGACATCACAAAAGGAGTGAACACATGAGGTATCACTTGCACTGCTAGCAGGAGTGCTGGGTAACACAGCAGGAGACACTAGCAGAAGGCGAAGCCTGGAGGTAGAGCAGCAGAGAAGCATGGCACCGCGTAGCAAGCTGGGGATGATGCAGGTGTTAGGACAACTACGTAGGTGTCTGGACAATATTATCCCCTTTGAATTTAATTGTGATGGCAACATAGCCATCTACCCCATTCAGCCTCCTCAATGCACCTACCACCTCACACCACAGCAGCCCACCGGGGCTTTGAGAGCCTCTGAGGGCAGGACCCAGCACAGAGCCAGCCCCCTAAGCTAATTTAAAAAGGATATCTCCTGCAGGAGCAGCTCTTAGACCGCTGCTCATCACATGCAGGTCAGGATCCGGAAGATCTTCCTGACACAGAGCAATCCATTACCTCCACACCTAACCTAAGCATCCTCCGGGGCTCTCCTCAAGCTGGCACTCTAGCTGGAGGAAAAGCGTGTCTAGGTAAGTGTGGCATTGGCAGTCACAAAAGCACAGCTCATGCTGTGTAGTCTCCACTGGATCCCCCACCATTCTGGTAGAGTTCAGAATTGCCCTCCTCATGTTTAACTCCCTAACTGTTTGCCTCAAAGCCTTTATCTCTTCCCACAATCTGCATCTTCTCTGCAGTTTCCCTATCTCCATCCATCTCATTGTAGAGTCTGCCTAGGCTGGGTGAAGTCCTCTTTTCTCTCCCTTCACTAGGAGCCTCTGGACTGAATGGAGCATATTCCCCAGCCCATGGCTCCATGCTGCTGCAGCCTAGACCACATGCTGTCACTTCCTCCTGCTGTGTAGTACTTGAAGTATACTGCATGAATGATGCTATCCAAACTGGCTGGCCTGTATTGGAGCTGCCGTGAGGCCCGGGTTTTCTCGCTGCTCCATCTGATAGCCCTGCAGGGAATACAGCTGCTTCTGCTCCATTACAGTCTCTGCTCCAAGCACTCCTGTGAGAAGCCCAAGCTGTACATGTTGCACACCCACCTCTGTAGTGTCAGGGGCCCCGAGGCCAGTTTAAGTAAGAGCATTATCCTCACCCAGTTCAGCCCCTATTCTGTGCCCCCCTCTGTGAAATGACTTCTTGCTGAGGTGCCATTCTGGGTGTTGATAACCAGTGGGGAAACTACTCAAGGACTCCTGTTGGGTGAAAGTTGCCACAAAGGGAAGAGCTGGCGAGACTATAAGATGCTTATGATACACTGAGCTCAGTGAGAGACTTATGGGAGCTGCTCAGACTCTAACAAGCCCACGGTTCCTCTCTTGTCAGGGTATTCCCTAGAGAGAGAACAAAGGGGCGTTGGCAGGGCAGGCCTAGAAGAGCAGCAGGGTGGCTGGGCATGACTGAGACTGCATCATCAGAGCTGGGCATGGGAAACCCAGGACTAGAACACACCTCACACTCCAGGGCCAGATGTTCTGTAGCTCTGGAATGGGAGTCTATCCCCCCCGGCTGCTCCGTGCATAGTTCTGGCAGAACACAGTGCTGCATTTCCCTCTACCATTCCTCAGCCAGCAAAGATACTAACCACCCCCATTTCTTTAGTTGCTCTAGGGCTCAGCTGGGCCCTGGCCATTTAGCTTTGCACATAGGTAAATGTTTGTTGAATTGATTTGTCTGCACTCCCCGCATTGACCAGCCCCCTCGGCATTGCTTTCCAGCCCCCACTCTCTGGTTGGCAGCTGCTCAGCAAGCCCTTTTAGCGTACATTAGCTGCTAGAAAAGCAATGTACAAACTGTGGCATGCAATACCCACAGGAGAGCTGCAGGAAATTAAACAGCCTGAACCAACCACCAAAAGTCCCAGCGGTGGACAAGGCAGATGCCAGCTGAGCAGCACGTGGGCATGATGGAGCCCTGCATTCTCCAGGGGAAAGAGCACTGAAGGGAGTGCTTGAGAGACAGATGGTGGCCATGGCAATAAGTGAGAGTCCCTGAAACAGGGAACTGCAGAGGTGGGCCTTGCTGCTAGAGCTAGCTGTGGTGGGGGTCAGCCGCCCAGCAGCCCGAGATGCCCCCAAACCAGTAGCTGGGGGGAGGAAAGAATGTTCCTGCCTTGCAAAGCTCTCTTGCCCCCGCCCACAGCTGTGTTACTGGACCAGCAGCCCTGTATGGGAAGAACACCCCTGAATGACCTTGTGAGAGCAGGGGCTACCCTGGGGGGAAGGGAGCTGCAGCCCAGGGCAGAGAACTCAGACTGGGGGAGAAATCCTGGGAGGCCAGAGGCTCTTAGGCTGCCTCTTCAGCACAGCCAGCTTCCTGAGCAGGAAGAATCCGCCAACAGTTTGGGCCAGGAGGGAAAGGTCTCACTAACACAAGCCGGGCACAGAATCAGTCCCAGCACCGAGAGCAGACAGACAGTCCCAAAAGCACTGGTGCCACTGCCTGACTTTATTACTGTGCAGCCATACAAAAGCCAAGTGCTTATAAAAGAGGTCCTGGACCAGCACTGAAGCCACCGTATTGTACAGGCTTGGGGTGGCAAAGGTCTCTCACCCCACGTAGGGTCCATTGTTCACAGCTAGCTACGTAAAAAAAGTTACAAGTCCCCTGGGGAATAGGAGTCTCTAATCAATGGTTTAACTGAAAAATAGATACGATAGAAACATCCCTCCAGCCAGCTCGCCCTCCAGAGACATCCTGTCGCCACTCTGAGCCAGCCCCGGTCACAGCAGCAAAGGGCCACTTCTCCATCAGCCCCAGTTATAGAAATAGATTTTCTGCCAAGCTGGCAGGTAATTCATCATTGGTCCTGAAATGAGAGAACAGAGGGACCAGGTGAGCCAGAGTCGGGAACAACATTTTAAAGATGTACACTTGAGCATGGATTTCCCACACATCTCTGCTGGTGCCCCTCAATCCCAGCCCACAGCCTCCCATTATGCCATTCCTAGCTTTTCCCCAAGCAAAATCACCAACTGTGCCACGCTGGGTGGTGGTGCTGATGTGCCCACTGGGAGCAGAGCAGGACAAGACTCATATGACCCTTGAAACTTGGACAACAGAGGCAACAGGTGAGGTGCACTGACACCTGTGCACTGGAGGAGGGCTTTCCCCTCTGCCCCAGGACTGCAGCTGCCCACACAGGAAGAAACCTGTGGGATAGGAGAGCCCCAGCCGAAGTATAGGGAAGGGGCAGTAACCCAACTCAGCACCAAAGATCAGCTGCAAAGACACAGTCTCCCTCAGTTCCTGGCTAAACTCATGTAGTGCTGCTATGCATTTTACACTGCTTCCGCGGCCCACTCCAGAGGACTGTGTTTCAGCAGGAAGTGGAAGAAGAGAGGAGACTCTGGTTTGAAAATTGTAAAGTGCTTTGCGGTCCTTTTGGAAGAGGTGCTAGAGAAATGCAATATTGTTTCCATTCTTTAATTCACAGTCCATCCAAAACTACCTTGGAGTAAGTGTCCCTGGTAGCAATTTGGAGAGGGTTACTCCACACTCTGTGTTGTGCTTTGCACAGCTCAGTGCTTATGAGGTGGGTGAAGATGGGATGGAGGGGCATCAGCAGAGCTGTGTATGGGGCGCATAGCAGGATCAGCACAGCAGTGTGCACTGGAGGTCAGGACTGAGGTGCACTGGCAGAGCTGTGCAGGGAACCCAGGACTGGAATCCAGCCAGCTCTGGCTGGGGGGGTGTATTTGAATGATTACACTCATGGCGCTTAAGTCCCTACGATATTTAACCCCTTACTGTTTGGATTTAAACCAGCACATGAGTGTTAATGGTAGGTATTCTGGTGGCAAATATCCCAGGGGCTTTTCCTCACTCCTTTGCCAGTTAGGCTCTAGCCTGTGACATACAGCCCACCCCCAGCTCCAGTCCTTCCCAGTGGAAATGCAGCCACTACAGCTGCCTACTTACGCGTGACTAACCCGACTCCGGGAACATAATCAGCCAGCAGGCGGAGCAGGAAGAGGATCCGGCCCCTAGGGGAACAGAAAGAGTGTGGATGAGGCCAGTGCAACGACCTCACGTTCCAGTCTGCCGAATGCACTAGAAGAGGCCTCCTCCTTTGGTAATGGGAACTGGATTTCTCTCAGCTCAGCTGCTTTGCTGCTCTTGAATATCCTGCACCCCCAAACTGCCAGCTCCCCGCAACTTCCCATGTCAGGATTTTAATGCAAACAACAGTGATGCAGGTGAAACAGGTCAGAGTGAAAGATGCTTGAGATCTTCAATAGAGCCTGAGCCCACTCTGGCTTCCTAGCTAGGTAGAGGCATCAAAGCCCCTTAGTGAAGGCCCAAAGTATAACTGTGTTAAAAAAAGAACTAGATAAGTTCATGGAGGATAGGCCCATCAATGGCTATTAGCCAGGATGGGCAGGGACACAACCCCCTGCTCTGCGTGTCCCTAAACCTCTGACTGACAGCAGAGACTGGATACAAGGAATGGATCACTCAAAATTACCTCTGTTCATTCCCTCTGGGGCACCTGGCATTGGCCACTGTCAGAAGACAGGATACTGGACTAGATGGACCCTTGGTCTGACCCAGTATAGCCATTGTTATATTCTTAGAGCACCTCGCTCATCAAATATCCTGTTGGGGGACTGGCTCCTTTATAGGGGCTAGATTCAGAACAGCCAGCAGGACCTCTTACTCTGAGTATCGGTCATAAAAAGGAGATCTCAGCAGGTAGTACAGCAGCAGGATGGTTCGGCGTCTCAGCTCCAAGCGCTCTCGCTTATTCAAGTCTTTCATATCACTCAGTAAACTTAGGCTGGAAAGAGAAGGGCAGGGAGTTAACTCAGAGATCCATGGCCAAAGCACGGGAGTTTTAGCATCTAGTCCCTGCTGCTCTCAGCGCCATGTGAAGTGGACCACTAAGCAGGCTTCCCTGCTCCTCTTCAGAGGAAAGGCTAACCACCCAGCTAGGGATAGTGCAGTGTGAAGATGCTGCAGGGGCGGATCCTCAGAATCTTGGCGTGGGACTTCTTGCTGTCACAAATAACTGCTCCCACCTGCAGCTGCACCCCCGCCCCGCACTGCTGCTTCTGCCTGAAGGGCCTACGCAGCACAGAACAGCAGGGCAGCAATGGGATCAAATGGGCACAATTGAGACAAACAGGACTGGGAGTTCAGCCCCAAAACACCCAAATGGAACCCAACGCGGAAGCCCTCTGTGGCCTCCCTCCAACTGACCTTGTGATATCCAGGATTCCCGAGAGGAGCCAGGGCTTCCATGATCTCTGGCCCCACATGCCTAAACTCAACACTGGGAGCAGAAGGGTCAAGGAAAGGAGAGAACAGACATGGTT